GGCGTGAGTTTAAGCCACCGGGCCCGGGACTTGAACCGTGGTCGACTACGTGGGAGTCCAGCAACATAGCCATTACGCTAACTGCTGATCCTCATTCAACACTTTTTTTAATGTGTTGTTTTTTAATGTTCAAGGGGTCGTGTGCACTTGTCAGAGAAATGGAGAGAAAGCATTCCCATAGGGAATGGTCATCCTGCAATCCCTTCTCCATCTCTCCCTCCTTTTGGGATTTTGGGTATGCATGCACATGCACCTGGCATGTATTTTAAGCTGCCAGGCAGGGATATGAACCGTGTGGTCAGCCATATGGGATCTAGCGTCCTTAACCACTGGGTTACAGGGCTGGCTCAGGACATACTCTGGAAATAAAAAGTGTAACTTAGTCTTGAGTGTTGTGGGTTAACTGCTTATATCAGGGCACTTTAAGTTAGCTGTGTTATGTGATGAATAATCTTCACTAAAGGGAAGTAAGAGAGAGGAGCTAATTTGAAGTTTGTGTGTATGTTACTGAAACTCAACAGTAACTGCTGTAATTGCTTAGAACATAGAGTGAGACTTTTTTTTTTTTTTGAGCGATTTTTGCTATAGGGCGTGTGCACTCACCAGAGAGACAGAGAGAAAGAAAGTGAGAAATCACCACCCCCTGGGGGGGCTGGCCACGCCACAATCCATTCTCCTCTGGGGATCTTGGGCATGCACACACACGTGCCTGGCGTGAGATTTTTCTTTTCTTTTTTTTTTTTTCTTTTTTTAAGAGATTTTTGCTACATGGACCCTCCAGAGAGAAAGAAAGCGAGAAAACACCCTCCAGGGGCGATGGCCACGCTGCAATCCCTTCTCCTCCATTCTCCTCTCGGGATTTTGGGCACACACACGCACGCACACCTGGCGTTATTTGAGTTTGAGTTTGAAGCCACCAGGTCTGGAACTCGAACTGCCATCAACTACATGGGAATCTAGTGATGTAACCGTTACGTCATCTGCTGGTCCCAGCCTGGTGCAAGCTTTAAGCCGCCAGGTCCGGGAGTCAACTCATGGTCGACTACGTGGTAGTCTTGCGACATAGTCATCATGCCATCCACGGATGCTCATTTTTCTTTTCTTTTTTTTTCTTTTATTTTGGCGGTGGTTGTTTATTTGTCTTGTTTTCCTTTGTTTTCTTTCTCTCTCTTTTTTTTTTTTTTTTCAGAGAGGAACCTGTTATCACTGACAGAAAATTGTTGCTGTATAGTGATAATAAAAAAGCAAGCCAGGGCCCAGGAGGTGGCGTGGCAGTTGAGGGACTGGACTCCCACATGGCTGACAGTGGTTCGTGTCCTGGACCTGGAGGCTTGCTTTCTCACTTTCTGTCTCCCTCTCTCTGGTCACATTTAAATAAATGAATACATAAATAAAATTAAATTCATAATTCTTTAAACAAAAGGCAGACCAAACTTTAGCAGATTTTATTCTTGTTTTAAAATTCTCTATAGGTAGCAAACACTCTCATTGCCCGCTCCCATTCCTACCCTTCCGTTCTCCATCGGAGTTTGTACACTTGTAGCCTTATATTCCGGAACTTTCCTCCAAACCCTTTCCATTGCAGGCACGCTATACAACAGAGGCAGGCCCAGTCTGGTGGCACCATGGATAGAAAACTGAACTGCAGTGCTGGAAGCCACATGGGTGACCGTCAGTTCCGACATCTGACTTGATCTGAAAACATTTGTGCTCAAGATCTTGGGGAGCTAGAGTGCTGAGAAAAGGGGATGTGGCATGGAGGGTACTTTTCTCTCTCTTTCTCTTATGTGTGTGTTAGAGAGCATATACTCTCTATCATAAATAAAATAAAATAAAATAAAATAAAATAAAATAAAATAAAAAGCAAATAGCAATACATATTTGTTTGTTTGTTTGTTTTCCTTTTTGGAGAGGTTTTTTTGCTATAGGGCATGTACGCTCACCAGAAAGAGAGAGACAGAGAGACAGAAAGTGAGAAATCACCCCCCAGGGAGGGTGGCCACACCACAATCCCTTCTCCTCCATTCTCCTCTCGGGATCTTGGGCATGCATGCACAAGTGCCTGGCGCGAGTTTAAGCCACCGGGTCCGGGACTCAAACTGCGGTCAGCTACACGGGAGTTCAGTGATATAGCCATTACGCTAACTGCTGGTCCCAATAGCAATACATTTTGATCATTATCATTGTTATCTAATAAATAAGGAACATCTACTATCCATCCTTCAAGCTCAAGCACCACCTCCTCTGGGAAGCCCTCCTAGACTGCATCCAGCCTACTTTAGGAGTTCTGTTCTGGGCTCCCCTAACATTCTGTGCTGTTCCTGATAGGGAACCTAAAGCCTTGTCTTTAAGGTTTTTCTGTTTCTTTTGAAGGCAGTGACCCTGACTTACTTATTTCTGTGTTTAGTGCCTTTCTCCCATATGGCAGGTCATGTGGACATTTTCCTTTGAATGAACTGAATCGCATTTACTTGCCAGATTCAGGTTACCTAGCTCCTGCCCCACAGGGGCCCAGTTGGGACCAGACGTTCCCAACTGGGGATGATTTGTCTCCCTCCTCCCTAGGAATATTTGGTAGTTCCTGGAGGCATTTTTGGTTATCACCAACAGGGAAGAGGTGGCTGTGTGTGACTCCAGAACCTAGTGGCTGGCAGGCCAGAGTGCTGGTAACTGTCCTCTAAAGCACAGGTCAGCCCCTGTGAAAGTCTCATCCAGCGCGAGCTTGAGAAACCTTCTTCCAGAAGCCCAGCCTGGACACGAGATGCCCTACATCACCACTTTCCAAGGCCTTAAGAAAAGACAGGAGGGGGACCAGCAGTTAGCCTAATGGCTATGTCGCTGGACTCCCACGTTGTCGACCGCAGTTCAAGTCCTGGACTTGGTGGCTTAAACTCACGCCAGGCATGTGTGCGTGCGTGCCCAACATCCCGAGAGGAGAATGGAGGAGAAGGGATTGCGGCGTGACCATCCCTCCTGGGGGGTGATTTCTCGCTTTCTGTCTCTCTGTCTCTCTCTGTCTGTCTGATGAGTGCACGCGCCCTATAAAAAAAAAAAAAAAAAAAAAAAAAAAAAAGAAAGAAAGAAATGATAGGAGGGAGGCCAGCAGATAGTGCAGTAGACTCCCACATGGGTGACTATGGTTCGAGTCCCAGACCTGGCAGCTTGCTCTCTCACTTTCCTTCTCTCTTTCTTTTTGTCTCTCTTTGGTGGGTGTGCATGCCCTGTAGCAAATGAAATAATAATAAATGATATCAAATATATAATTCTAAACAAAAATGATGGGGGGTGGGCAGCAGGTGGCATAGTGGTTAAGGTGTCGGACTCCTACATGGACGACCATGGTTTGAATTCCAGACCTAGAGGCTTGAAACTCATGCTGGGCGCATGTGTATGTGTGTCCAAGATCCCGAAGGAGAATGGAGGAGAGGGATTGTGACCTGACCATCCCCCCTGGGGGGCGATTTCTCAGTTTCTCTCTGTCTCTGTCTCTCTGGTGAATGCATGCATCCTATAGCAAAAATCTCTCTTAATAAAAAAGAGGGACCAACAGATGGTCCCACATGGTTGGGTTCCTGGCTCCAGTCTAGAGACTTCCCTGAGTATATCTGAGTACCCCTGGCACAGACAGGCCCAAGATCAGAGTCAGCTGAAGGCATCAAGGCTCTTTTGGGGATGCTGTCTCTCCCTTAGAAGAAATAAATAAGATAAACTTAAAAAAAAAAAGTTGAATGATACTGGCAAGAGGATGACCATAAAGGTGATTTCTACTCTGAATATTATTGAGTCAGAAATGTGGGACATGGGAGTAAACACGAGTGGCCGTTCCTCTATTCAGAAGGTGTAGTTTCTGTTAGTGTGATGGGGAGACCAGCAGATGGCATCATGGTTATGTTGTGAACTCCCACATAGTTGACTGCAGTTCGAGTCCCAGACCCAGCTTAAAACACTCCAGGTTCACGAACGAGTGTGTGCGTGCATGCCCAAAATCTTCAGAGGAGAAGGGATGGCGGCATGGTCATCCCCCCTGGGGTGGGGTGTTTTCTCGCTTTCTGTCTCTCTGTCTCTGGCGAGAACACATGCCCCATAGCAAAACTCTCTCTCTAAAAAAAAAAAGGGAGGGAGGAATGGGGAATCCCACCAGAGTCCCGGACCTTAGGGTCTTGGGGACAATTGGCAGAAGAGCTTGGGGTCTAAGGGGGCCCTCAGGGTGCAAGTCACTGGTTCTACTGCACAGGGGCCTGAAAGCCACCTCCCCAGACAGTAGCAATTATGGCAATCAAACAGTTGACACCAATTACGTGCGGCCAAGAGGCGACAGCGGCTGCGCAGAAACCTTGCTTTGCATATCTTAATGCAGACTGACAGGCGCTGACCCGTGGGGGCGCTGGCCTTGCCAGCTCTCAGCTGTTCCTGTGGCACTAATTTTCAGAGCCAAATTACTGTCAAATCTGCCCATTTATTGTGTCTGGAAGGCAGAGCGGTTTGTGTCT